GGCATGCAGCGGGCAACTGTAGTCCCAGCTACTTGGGAGGCTGAGGCAAGAGACTGCTTAAGCCCAAGAGTTGGAGGTTGCTGTGAGCTGTGACACCATAGCACTCTACTGAGGGTGACATAGTAAGACTCAGTCTCAAGAAAAAAAATAAATAAATAAAAGAAAAAGAAAGACAAAGATGGACACTTCATACTGCTCAAAGGAACAATACAACAAGAAGATAATCTTGGGGAGCCGCCTGTAGCTCAGTGAGTAGGGCGCTGGCCCCCATATACTGAGGGTGGTGGATTCAAACCCGGCCCTGGCCAAACTGCAACAACAACAACAACAACAAAAATAGCCGAGCGTTGTGGCAGGCACCAGCTACTCGGGAGGCTGAGGCAAGAGAATCACCTAAGCCCAAGAGCTGGAGGTTGCTGTGAGCTGTGGTGCCACAGCACTCTACTGAGGGTGACAAAGTAAGACTCTATCTCTAAAAAAAAAAGAAGATAATCTCAATTTTGAATAGTTATGCACCCAACTTAATTGCTCCTAGATTTATGAAACAGACCTTGAGGTGCCTGAGCAACATGATATACCATAACACCTTAATAGTCCAGGATTTTAACACCCCTCTCACAGAACTAAACAGAAACTAAACAAGAATAGAAAGGACTTAAATGTGAGCCTAGAACAAATGGGATTAATAGACATACACAGAACACACCATCCCAGAGCAAAAAGAATATACTTTTTTCTCATCAGCCCAGGGTATATATTCTAAAATCACCACATCCTAGGATCTAAATCAAAGCGTGGCAAAATTAAAGAAATAGAAATTATACCTTGTTTCTTCTCAGACCACAAGGCTAGAAAGGTAGAACTCAACTCCAGCAAAAACATTCATCCTCACAGAAAGGCATGGAAATTAAACAAGCTTATGCTGAATGATAGTTGGGTTCAGGTAGAGATAAAAGAGGAACTTGTTAAGTTCCTCAATCATAACAACAATGAAGAAACAAGTTACCAAAATCTGTGGGAGACAGCAAAAGCAGTCCTGAGAGGAAAATTTATTGCACTAGAAGCCTATGTTTGAAAAAAAAAAGCACATCAGCATACTCACATACCAACTTAGGAAATTGGAAAAAGAAGACCAATCTAATGGTAAACTGAGCAGAAGAAAAGAAATAGCCAAAATTAAATCAGAGATTAATGAAATTGAAAACAAAAAAAATTCAGAAAATTAATGAAACAAGTTACTTAAAAAAAAAAAAGGCTCAGCACCTGTGGCTCAAGTGGCTAGGGTGCTAGCACATACACCTAAGGTGCTGGGTTTGAGTCCAGCCTGGGCCCGCCAAACAACAGTGATGGCTGCAACGAAAAAATAGCCAGGTGTTGTGGGGAGCGTCTGTGGTCCCAGCTACTTAGGAGGCGGAGGCAGGAGACTCGCTTGAGCCCAGGAGTTGGAGGTTGCTATGAGCTGTCATGCCACAGCATTCTATCCAGGGGGACAGCTTGAGGTGCTGTCTGAAAAAAAAAAAATA